CGAAGACGTATTTACATGATCCATAGCCATGTACCCAAGGCCTGATAATTTATATCCTCCAGGATCCCGAAGACATGGCCCTAGGGTCCAGAGACTTAAATATCCTCAGAACTTAAAGACAAGGCCCAAGGTTCCGTCAATCATATCGTCATGGAACCTGGAGGCATGCCCATGGGACCCGAAGAAATATATTTTGAGTGATCATGAAAACTCGGGCGCTGTGACCACCACAATTTCCAATCTTTGCTATTTTATAGTCAGTGGACTTACGTGGCGTGCAGATCAAGCCTACCTCTCTTGTTTTTTTCTTGCAGCGTCGCAGTCACTTGTTGCATCTGTGGCCACTCCGGCGTGTGTGCCTCGGAGCGAGCAGAGCGCCATATTCAAGGGTGAGTGAGAGGTGGTAGTGGTGCAGTTTGCCCGGTGACACGTCGCTCGTCTCACTGCCTTGCATTTAGCATGTCAACACGCAACTCAGACGTCACTAACCAGCCCTAATCTCATTTCCAATGACGTCACATACCTCAGAGCATGCAGGCACGTTCTTATCTTCACTTAAAATGGGAAATCTACCTCGGAGTTCCCTGCTTTACATGGCAGTTTCTCCCCACCAGTCTGGTGTGGGGACGCTTTACACAGCAATTTCTCCCAACCAGTCCTGGTGCTGGGTCGCTTTACACGGCATTTCCTCCCCACCAGTCTTGGTGATGGGTCGCTTTACACAGTAGTTTATCCCTGCCAATCCTGGTGTAGGGACGCTTTACACAGCAGTTTTTCCCCACTAGTCCTGGTGTAGGGACGCTTTACACAGCAGTTTCTCCCCACCAGTCCTGGTGTAGGGACGCTTTACACAGCATTTCTCCTCACCAGTCTTGGTGTAGGGACGCTTTACACAGCATTTTCTCCCCACTAGTCCTGGTGTAGGGACAATTTAGACAGCAGTTTCTCCCCACCAGTCCTGGTGTTGGGCTTCTCCCAACGTAGTGTATCATTCAAAAACACTGAAGGTCTTGTTAATGTAAGCCAAAACTCAAGACTGTCACTATGCATCATATATGCATGGTACTCCTATTTTTTTATATATGAAAAGCTGATTAAAACTTCAAGAAGTGATTGTTAGTCATAGGTGAGCAGGAGGGAGCCCCGAGACTCGAGCAAAAATCGTCTGTACACAGTATACGTGCTCACACCTTCTACTGATGGTAGATGTGTGCGTTTCTAGATGTTTTCTTTCTGGAACAATGGACTCTGGAACCAGAAGTAGGCGCCTGGGAAGCCTGAATTAAAGAGAGAAAATGTTTGATTAATCTCTAAAGGAAGGATGGTTGAGAACTGTGAGGTCCACAGTCTAAGTACCAGCATTACACACCCCTCAAGCAAGGTTCCTTGATGTTGGTGCGGGGCTCTTGATCTAGGGAATTGGATCTGTTCTGCACTTCCCGAATTAAGCCTGAATACCTTCCACATCCCCCCCAGAGGCGCTGTATAATCCTACGGGTTTAGCGCTTCCCCTTGATTATCATAATCATCATCACCAACATTATACGGAGGTCGACAAGTCTTCTAGATCGATGCAGATGATAAATCGGTCCTGCGAGTACGACGAGACTCTTGGATAATCTTTCTTGTTTCTCCACTTGAAATATTCAGTAAGATCTAAAGAGTATAGACGGTTGTCTGAGCCGTGACCCGAAGTCGTGCAGGATCACCTCTGTTATTGACGCCATGAAAGGTGTACCAGCACCTATACAATGGTACTTAATCACACGTTTCCTACAACGAGGATCAGCAACACAGGTCTGGAGACTGTGACGATATTTCTTGCACAAGAAACACCTCAATGAGTTCACGATGGAAACTACTTCACTGTTATTATCGGAAGATCCTGTTTAGCTATTACTGTTATATTTCACCGTACGTCACTGACTGGACATGGCCGTGGGTATCTGGGTGTGGGCGTGGGTAACTAGGTGTGGCCGTGGGTATATGGGTGTGGGGGTGGGTATCTGGGTGTGGGCGTGGGTAACTAGGTGTGGCCGTGGGTATATGGGTGTGGGCGTGGGTAACTAGGTGTGGCCGTGGGTATATGGGTGTGGGGGTGGGTATCTGGGTGTGGGCGTGGGTTCGATAATACACCCAAACCAGGTGCTCTCGCCCTCGCTTGTTTTACAGCTTCTGATGGATATTACCGACTCACGTTACGTAAGCCATCAATTTTTTTACTACGATATATATATATATATATATATATATATATATATATATATATATATATTATATATATATATATATATATATATATATATATATATATATATATATACATATATATATATATATATATATATATATATATATATATATATATATATATATATATATATATATATATCGCAGACGGGCGATCTTAACTATGCAGGACAAGCCACGGAGGGGTGGAAATATTTAGCTCAAGTGCTTTCACACTTCTCAGTGCGTCATCAGGAGCTGTGCAATGTTGCAGGGGTCTCAGAGTAGCGTAGGTGTCACTGGCCACGGTTACCCTTAGACTGGGTTAGTGGTTGGTGCCAACCCCACCCTACCATCATCCCCCCACTACCCATATAGGGTAGGAGGGTTTCTGAGATGTCAAGTAGGAAATTATAAGATATAAAAAGCCAGCCCCAAGCTATTCCTAATCATTTATAACATGTCATATAGATTGAGAAAATAAGTTTCTCCTTAGATACTGTAGACATAGATAGCTATTATTCTGTGTGACCTTTTCAAGTAATGAAAGGAAAGAATACAATGTGCTCTTTGTCCGTTTAAATGTCCTGCTCTGAGGTACTCGAATGTTCTACCCATGTACTCAGAAGTATCTCTTCCTACATATTGTCTACTATTTTCCCAGTGGCTGTTAATATGCCATACATGCGGACTTCTATACCTATCCGATAATATTTCTATGATCTAAGTTCTACTAATACCCTTTAACCTTTCCTTACATTATCTTGTGTGCTTGTCACTGTATGGTACATAAACATCTACAGGTGTTATATAACCTTTAAAACTGACATGGTGTGAAGTTTTGGTACATAGACACTGGACGGGCGTCACCAGTCCATCAACCCACCTGGCATGATGAACAATCCTGTGATTTTGTATAGCATTGTTGTTTAAGACTGTGTCCAATGGACTCTACTGGGAAGAAACTCATCAATGTTGTGATGATTAGGCCACAGGCAGAGAACATCATCTACGTATCTGAACCAACTAGCTTTATCTGGGAGAATGTCTTTGAGAAGTCTGGTCTCATAAAATTCCATATATAGGTTGCTGAGTAAGGGGCTAAGGGGATTTCTCATTGCCATGCCTTGTTTTGAGCATAGAATTTCCCTTCAAACACGAATTTGCAATCAGTAACACAAAATTTTATCAGTTCAATTATTGTTTTCGTGGGGAAGGGCATGGAGAAGTTTTCAAGTTCCTCTTCGAGGTACGAAAGCAAGTCAGGGACAGGGACTTTGGTGAACAGAGCTGTGACATCAAAGCTCACTAAAGAAAAGTCGTGAGGGACATTTAATTTCTGGAGCCTCTCAGTGAGGTCAACATTATTTTTAATATGTGCGTCTGACCTCACTGAGAGGCTCCAGAAAATAAATATCCCTCACGACTTTTCTTTAGTGAGCTTTGATGTCACAGCTCTGTTCACCAAAGTCCCTGTCCCTGACTTGCTTTCGTACCTCGAAGAGGAACTTGAAAACTTCTCCATGCCCTTCCCCACGAAAACAATAATTGAACTGATAAAATTTTGTGTTACTGATTGCAAATTCGTGTTTGAAGGGAAATTCTATGCTCAAAACAAGGCATGGCAATGAGAAATCCCCTTAGCCCCTTACTCAGCAACCTATATATGGAATTTTATGAGACCAGACTTCTCAAAGACATTCTCCCAGATAAAGCTAGTTGGTTCAGATACGTAGATGATGTTCTCTGCCTGTGGCCTAATCATCACAACATTGATGAGTTTCTTCCCAGTAGAGTCCATTGGACACAGTCTTAAACAACAATGCTATACAAAATCACAGGATTGTTCATCATGCCAGGTGGGTTGATGGACTGGTGACGCCCGTCCAGTGTCTATGTACCAAAACTTCACACCATGTCAGTTTTAAAGGTTATATAACACCTGTAGATGTTTATGTACCATACAGTGACAAGCACACAAGATAATGTAAGGAAAGGTTAAAGGGTATTAGTAGAACTTAGATCATAGAAATATTATCGGATAGGTATAGAAGTCCGCATGTATGGCATATTAACAGCCACTGGGAAAATAGTAGACAATATGTAGGAAGAGATACTTCTGAGTACATGGGTAGAACATTCGAGTACCTCAGAGCAGGACATTTAAACGGACAAAGAGCACATTGTATTCTTTCCTTTCATTACTTGAAAAGGTCACACAGAATAATAGCTATCTATGTCTACAGTATCTAAGGAGAAACTTATTTTCTCAATCTATATGACATGTTATAAATGATTAGGAATAGCTTGGGGCTGGCTTTTTATATCTTATAATTTCCTACTTGACATCTCAGAAACCCTCCTACCCTATATGGGTAGTGGGGGGATGATGGTAGGGTGGGGTTGGCACCAACCACTAACCCAGTCTAAGGGTAACCGTGGCCAGTGACACCTACGCTACTCTGAGACCCCTGCAACATTGCACAGCTCCTGATGACGCACTGAGAAGTGTGAAAGCACTTGAGCTAAAGATTTCCATCCCCCGTGGCTTGTCCTACATATATATATATATATATATATATATATATATATATATATATATATATATATATATATATATATATATATATATATATATATATATATACATATATATATATATATATATATATATATATATATATATATATATATATATATATATATATATATATATATATATATTATATTAACACTTCTTTTTCCCAGGATACGATCTCATCGAGTGGCTG